GAAGGAAGAGAGGACAGGGAGGGAACCACGAACTGTCGAGAACCTTCTCTGAGCCAAATGCTGACTCACACACACATTATCCTTACCGTACATCATCCTATCTGGTGGCCACAGGCACTGTTATGCTACTTACAGGTAAGAAAACAGTGAAGTGATCTGCCCAATCTGTATGCGGGGAGACAGGTTGGAAGGGATGGAGGAGTCAGGAAATGAGACTGGAAGTTGGGCCTCTGTCCCACATGGAGAGAGAGACACACTGGGGCCCTGGACTCTCAGCACCTGCTACCATTTCTGTACAGCACCCAAGCGCTCACCCCACCACTGCTCTGGGGGGTGCCAGGACTCTCGGGGTCCTCTTCCCACTGGTATGATCAGCAGAGTCGCTTTGCTTCTGAACAAAGCCCTCCAGCAACATCTCTAACTTAGGAGAGAAAATAACTGAGAGCCCCCGGTAATGGCTAGGGCAGGAGAGATACTTGCAAATAATCACTTCAATTGGAGATCCCAGGCCTCCATCTGGAATAGGTCTTCTCTAGCTTTTGCCTGGGTCAGAGCCCAGGACCTCCAAGTGAGAGAGAGTTTATTTGGCTCATAGAAAATGCTGAATGAAGCATGACAGGAGGTGCTTTGACTCAAATGATACCCAACGAAAGGGGTCACCACTCATAAAGACTACGATATGAATAGTACTACTCAAGTTGGTCAGTGCACAACTAGCGCAGCTGTATGTGGTGACTCTGGACATAACTTTCCTGAGCAAGTGTGGGGGAAAATCCCCTCAAGAAATACAGAAAACATTTCTTAACTCAATGGATGCTCTGCACCCTGCCGAGACCTACAATCGCTCAGGATGGACAGACCTAAGTAGACACACTGACTTTCTGGTTGAGTCTGTTACACAATTCAAAGAAAAATGTTAAGAGCATATCTACCAGTCCTAATTTGCTTTTAAGATAAGCATCATTAAATTGAAAAGTATGCTATCATTATTGATACTGTTTCAACTCTTTTATATTTTAAAGGTTGATCTTGCCTATAACTTTAATATCCTGCTTCTTAAATTCAATTAATTGCCTGTTAAAATCTGCCCATGAACTTTTTGGTTAGGTCAGGAAGGTATAATTTGTATTTTTGTATTTTCACTTGTAACCTTGTAGTTTCGCTTCGTTTGAAAGCATTTCTTTCCTAGGGATAAAGGTTTCACTGAAATTAAAATATCTCCCCTAGAGGAAGAGACAGTGTCAGATCACAGATCAGAGCTCCAAATCTAGAAAGTGAAAAATACGATGAAGTTCATACCCTTCTCCCTGAGGAGTTCAGAGACATCCACGCAGCACCAGCGATGACTGGAAATTGGGTGTGAGATCTGGTGAGAACAGTATCTTTCAACCTTGGCTGCGCATTAGAATCACTGGGGCAGTTTAAAAAATATTTTTTATTAAAAGATTTTTTTTAAAAGCACCAGTGCTAGGATTGAATCAGAGTATCTCAGGGCCTAGGCAGATGCTTTTAAAAACCACCCCATGTGATTCTAAGTGACAGCCAGGATAGAAACCTCAGAGTTGGAGCCAGGCACGCGTATAATCTCAGAGCTTTGGGAGGCTGAGGCGGGAGGATCGCTTGAGGCCAGGAGTTCCAGACTGGCCTAGGCAACATAACAAGACATCACCCCTGCAAAAAATTAGCTGGGTATGGTGACAAGCACCCGTAGTTTCAGCTACTCATGAGACTGAGGTGGGAGGATCACTTGAGCCCAAGAGTTGGAGGCTGCAGTGAGCTGTGATTGCACCACTGCATTCCAGCCTGGGTGACAGAGTGAGAAATAAACCTCAGAGTTGAGGCAGAAGCCCAGTCCCCAAGGTGCTATCCATAAGGGAAGTGGGGAAGATGCTGCTGCTTTTTAAGTGGATCAGAATGGAATAGTCCTGTTTCTAATTGCCAAAGAATCTGAGTATTCATTAAGCAGATGTTTGTTTGGAAGTCAAAACTACTGATTAATAACTTATCAAGAACTTGTTTATGGAATATTGACTAAACAAGATGACAGTCATTGTCAAAATTTTTTTTTTAGGACTAAACACAACTTCTGTCCCCCTTTATCAGGTGGAAGTTTTCTCCGAGTATTCAAATATCGCCACAGGAATAACGCTGCATTTTGCTACCTAGGGACCCTGGAGATACGGACCTGCGTGTGGTCTTTTTAACAACCTGTGGCTCCTGGTTGTAGTGCAAGACAATGGTGGGTCACCCGTGGAGGGGGGACACCATCTGCCGTACTTCTGGAAGCACTTGAACCTCCAGCTAAATTGAACAGGAGTGACTTGGGACCCCAGGGGTACAGTCCCGGAAAACAAGATCCCAGGTTTTGTCCTGGGCTGGTCCTCACTACTCGCTCGTTGGAGGTGCTGAAGCTTTTCCTGACCAGTGGAGTGAGGGATGGAGAAGGGGAACCGAGTTTTACTAAATGCCTCTTTCGGCCGGAGGCTGCACACAGACGATCTTAATCCTCACGGCAGTGGTGCCCAGCCCCGGCTGCACACTGGAGTCCCCTGGGAGTTTTAAACCCACCCCCCCCCAATGCCAAGGCCACAGGACTATTTCAGTCAGAATTCGTGGGGGAAGATCTCGTGCATTGTAATTTTTTTTTTTTTTTGAGCTGAGACCCCCCCCACTGATGCCTCTTACGGCCGGAGGCTGCACACAGACGATCTTAATCCTCACGGCAGTGGTGCCCAGCCCGGGCTGCACACTGGAGTCCCCTGGGAGTTTTAAACCCACC